CTCCCAGCTGCTTGTGCACCTGGCAGAGCATGGGAAGCTGAAAAGTCCTTGACTTAGTGTAAGCACTACTTAGCAACAACTGAAACATCAGTGTGTTATCAACATTATTCTCATCCTAAATGCAAAACACAGCACTATACCAGCTACTAAGAAGAAAATTAACTCTATCCCAGCTGAAACCAGGACACAATTGCAGTTCCACTCTAATATAGATTCATCAGTCTTAACTATCTTTGCAAGCCTCATAATCCAATAGGCTATATGTTAATTTCTTTTTGGTCTCATCTTCTCACATCTCCCAACAACTTTCCTGTAACTACCCATATAACATGGAAAATCAAACAAAAACAAAACCAAGCGCATAAGCCCCACTTCTGTGATGTTGTCCGATAATTCATTCATTAAGATAATGAAAAGCACATATAGCACAGGCAATCTAAAATGATTCAGAGGTAAAATTTCTCACCTTCAAAGCTCAGAACTTCTGCTCTATAATGAAGTTTCATATTTCATATTTTTTAAGCCTAGTATAGCGAAAAAACTAGAAAAATTTAACTTTTATATGGAAAGAAAATTCTGGAATAAGGTCTTTCAAAAGAAAAGATATCTTACACATTCTTTACTCCCCAACAGAGGGCAGTCTTGGTAGTTTCTTTCTTTCCTCATGACAGAGTAGTAGAGAAAAAGCCCTAGTTCAGAGTGCCAAGCTTTAAGGTTGTCCCTGGTCCCACCACTATGGATCCTTGGCCTGCTAGATCCTACAGAAGCCTTGGTTCCCCAGCAACGCCAAGAAATCGTCAGGAAAATTATAGATTTTCACTGACTTCCTTGTATTTTGGAAAAATATTTTGACCCTCTCCCAAAATAAGCAAGAGAAGGGATAGGTCAACAGGTTACTACAGATGTATAAAATTACATAAGCAAAGGCTGGAAAATTTCAGTCAGTGCAACGTTTTATCTCTGCTAGAAAGCAAGAGGCTGTGGAGTAAGCAGTTCTAGGTGCCAGTACTAAATGAAAACAACTATACTTGCACTTATTTATGAACATGGAGAGCTTAATAAACAAAATGAGATTTAAGTAACTAAGTATCATCAATGTAGTACAAAATCACCTCTTCACAACAGTGATATACTAAACTGTAATTATAGTCAGCAATCCCTGCCAGCGAGAAGGCAAACTGAAACTGTAATTGCATGTATACCTTCAAAATATACCCAGAATGTAACCATATCTGCCTCATTTTTACAGGCCCACCATCTACACACCTTTCCTTTGATCTAAGGTAAAGGTCTGCACACTAAATCCTACTGTCAGTTAAAAGACTTGCAAGTTAGCTGCACTCAACAAGATTGCAGCAATTAACATTTCTCTAAAAGAAAACTGCTATCAGTGGCTATCAAAGTTAGAATTTCTGATACTGCTCTGAATCAAAGATGACCTGGGATACGGAGCTAAGTTGGAGCTAGTATCAATGGGTACCATTCTTGCTCGCTCTCTCCAGCTCAAAACTGGCTAAAGGAAAACAGAAAAATAGCTAGACCTACTATTTCTGCTGAGATTAAGCAATTTGGGACAATAGGAAAAGCGGCTGTAATATTTTATTTTAACACCAGACAAAAATTCTTAAGACAAAAAAAAAATAAACAAATGGTTATACTTTTGAATGTATGTCCTTTATAACAAAAATACTACCTATGTTACAATTTATACTGTGGTAATACCCAGCTTTTTTTAGGATTCAGCCACAGTTACGCTATACAAACCCGCACACAATCTGTGCTCTACACAGCTTACATAAAGCCAAAGTGTCAAGTGACAGGCAAGTAAATTCAAGTATTTACTAGTCTGGAGGGTATATTGCTTCCTGGTTTCATAATGACCAAAAAAGAAAACTCAACTATCTGATTTTGTTTCACCATTCATTAGCCAATTTCAACAGTTACCAGGGCTGGTTTGAGAGCAGAGGAGGAGCAGGCTGGTAGCCAAAACGGTGAAGGAATTTATTCCATAGGTAAGGACATACAGATAGAAACAAGGAAATGACAAAGTCATAGGATTACAGTATTATAGAAGATATGACTCAAATGGACTTCACCAAGTTATTTAATTTATCTCCCTAACCCCGGGCAGAAAAGTACTCATAACTGAAAAACATGATACTGGTGACAGATATACATGTGTGAAAATGAGAAGGATTAATATGACAGAGCAGCACTAGAAAACAGAACAAGAAATTTTAATTTTATTATGGGTAATTAACCAAAAGCATTTCAAGCAGTTCCAAACTGCTTACTAATGCCCCTGATAGCTGACACATTTAAATGGCCTTTTCTCAAAGTTTAGACCCCTTCAATTTTTTTAGTAGAGACTTGGAATTGCTTTAGTAGCACTACACAACGACTAACACATAGCACACGTTAATTTTATTTTCTTAGTCCATTTCACAAATCCCTGAGAGCTGACAGATATAGTTACAATCATGGAAACATGATGCGAGACAACTCGCACAACTGGAGTGCTGCAATGGATGGCTATAAGATCTTCAGAAGGGATAGGCAAGGAAAGAGGGGCAGTGGGGTAGCCTTGTATGTTAGGGACTGTTTTCACTGTCTAGAATTTGACAATGGTGATGATAGGGTTGAGTGTTTATGGGTAAGAATCAGGGGAAAGGCCAATAAGGCAGATATCCTGGTCTGTTACAGACCACCCTACCAGGATGAAGAGGCAGACTAAATATTCCATAAGCAGCTGGGAGAAGTCTCACGATCGCTAGCCCTTGTTCTCGTGGGAGACTTCAACTTACCAGATCTCTGCTGGAAATACAATACAGCAGAGAGGAAACAGTCCAGGAGGTTCCTGGAGGGTGTGGAAGATAACTTCCTGACGCAGCTGGTGAGGGAGCCAACCAGGGGAGGTGCCCCGCTGGACCTGCTGTTTAGGAACAGAGAAGGCCTGGTGGGCGATGTGGTGGTCGGAGGCTGTCTTGGGCTCAGCAACCATGAAATGATAGAGTTTTCAATTCTTGGAGAAGCAAGGAAGGGGCCAGCAAAACCACTACAATGAACTTTAGAAGGGCAGACTTTGGCCTGTTTAGGAGTCTGGTTGGGAGAGTCCCTTGGGAGGCAGTCCTGAAGGGCAAAGGAGTCCAGGAAGGCTGGA